ATATGCACGTATGCACACAAGTCTGTAGGTCTGTCCCTGAGTCCGTCTGTCCGTTTTGTCGTCTGGCAGGACCTCTCCTGCGTGTGCAAAATGCAAAACAATATCATCATAAAAACGGCACTACCAGCTCAAGTCGTCCATAACCATGACCATGTCCGTATATATATATATGTATATATAACCGAAAAACTGAAAACCAAAAACCAAAACCGAGAAGCCAGTAGAGAGGTCTACAGACCCAGCTCGTGACCGCTATAAATCGATGAAGTCATTGTGTTTTTGTGTGTCCTGAACCTTCTCTGTCTCTCCTCCGAAAGAAAAAGGACAAACTCTATATAGTATTGTAGACTACTGGTACTGGGTACTGATGCTGGGTACTGGTTATGGTACTGGCCTGTTGTGTTGCCTTTACAATTTCGAGTTTTTATTTTTATTTTCGTACTTGGTTCGATTTTATTGCCACCTCATAAAAGTAGCATAAACATGTTAGTAGCCTTTTGCTACCGCTACTTAAGTTAGTTGCCACACTCTTGCCTCTCATTCTCACCAGGTTTCTATCTCTTTCACTCGCAGAATTTGTTGCGTATTCTATTTTTTTTTTAAAGCGAATTTTTTTCGAGTTTTGTAGAGTATTTATCTAATCGGCTTTGTTATTTTTTTTAAGGTTTTCCCCTTTTTTTGTATTTTTTTTTTTTTTTGGGTTTTTTTTTTCTTCTCACCTTTGGTCTTCGTTTTTCTTTCAGTGTCAAAGTGTAATAAAATATTACTCATGGTAATTAAAATTTTGTGCTGGCTGTGGCGGCTTTTATTTCTTTTTCCGTCGGCTCAAGTTCAATGTGCACAGAAGCGGAGTTTAAAAAAAAAACTAAAGAATAACAAAACAAAAATTAAAACAATTAAAAAGCGTTTGTCGAGAGGTGCTCAACTCCAAAAAAAATGAAATAAACTAAAAGAACTGGTGGGGCGACTCGTAAAAACCACGGCGACAGTTCAACGACATGTTTATTAAGTCATACGCAAAATTTGTTAGGCCTGTCTGAGACCCACAGAAGAAAAATCCAAAAAAAAATCCAAAAAAAAAAAAAAGGGCTGAGAACTTCAAGACGGCAAGACTTGAAGATTTATATCCAAGACACTCTATGAGATTACATAAATGGCCATTAAAGTGTATGCTAATAAAAACAAGATATGTCCAGCCAGACAAGCTCACAAATTATATAATTAAGAGACCCCACTAGTGAGTACTCCATACATCTCTACATGCATGTGTGTCTTTATGGCTTGTGTGAAATATTATTTAAAGACTTTAATTAGAACAGAAGTAGGGGGTTTTTTTTTTTTTGGGTAAAGGCTTAAATTAAATCAATGCAATTATTAAGATATTTAATCTAAAGCTATAGGGCCTATAGAGTAATAAATTTATGAAATGTTATCTGCAATTGAAAGCCTTTCAAGAGCAGCTCTCCAAGAAGTTAAGAATTTGTTTAAAAAATTCAACCAAAAAGCCATCAGCCGGCCGGCAATCGTAAATAATAACAACTTTAAAAAACATAATCATAAAAAAACAAATATTATGAAAATAAAATAAACAATAACAACAACAGAAGCAGCAGCTGAATCAAAAACAGCAGCTCCTCCAGTGGCGTTAAAAAATAATAAACAAAAAAAATACAAAAAAAAATCTAAAAAAAAAAAATGTGATATACGAACGCTTTGAAATGCAAATCACACGACCAATTTGACAAATTAATTGAATCGCTTTGTAAACAAATCGAAACTCAATTGCCAACCGGGGGCCGGGGCTAATTGACAGGGTCACTCCATGGGATATGGTCTCTACATATATAGAGCTGCTGAGCCCCCATAGAGCCACTAATGGGCTTGAAAATTGAAACCAAATTTATGGTTTTTTTTGTTTGCCAGCCGAATGGATTTTTTAGGAGCCAACCGATGACATCTTAGAATCTTTTCTAAACAAAAATAAAGGGAATATGAGGCTGAATTAAACCGAAAAATTCTTAAAAAAATTTATTTAAAAATTAGGAGTGTTATTCCCCGTTAAAATTAAATCATTCAGAGGCAGAAAACAATTGGAAATTATGGTTTATTAAGATTATCAGACAGATAAGCGATATTTTTTGGGAAAACCCCGTGGGAACTGTCTGGTTATTTTTTTTAGGTAACAATAGAAATATAAATAGGCTATAAAATTAAAATAGAAAATAATAAAAAAAAGCGAAGATAATTGACAAAAAGTAGAACAAAATTTAGAGTTATATAATTAAAACAATTAAAAACCACAAAGAAATCCAACAAAAAAAACCATAATTGAGTTGTTCAATCACTTGTCTTCGGTTTTCGATTGACATTTCAAGATATTTCGAGATTCCATCAAGAAATATATAGAAACCGAAAGCGTAAATCCTAGACGATCTCTCGGACAGGATGCAAAAGGGCCGACCAGGACACGGGCACGGTATTCCTGGAAGGTGTCGCCGATCCGCAGGACAATAAAAAACACAACAAAAAAAGATTGGAAATTTTCTTGGTTCGGAAAGACAACATAAAAAGAAGCGCAAATGGCCAAAAAGGACAATGGCCCGAAGGAAAAAAAAGTGGCCAAAATGGACAAAAGGACCTGAAAAGAAATGCAGTTATTTGGGAGCTGAAGAGAGAGAGAGTGAGAGAGAGCTAGACAGTCTCCTCCCGGAAAATGATGGGTTATTAAATATTGTTAATCCCGACCAAAACTACTTACAATATTCAAATTTCAGCCAACAGCCAGGATTCAGGTAGACAGGATATTGGTCCACAAAAAAAAAATAGAAAAATAGTAATGCTTAAAAACCACCGTTATGGAAAACGGGCCAGGCCCTAAGGACAATAGAAATAGACGGTCGAAATGTCGGACAGTATCGAGCCTCTTTGGTTGGCATTTTGCCTTTATTGTGCACGCTGTTTAAATATTTACCGAGTTTTACAATATTTATGACATCTAAAAACATAACAACACCTACTTTACCCAAAAAGGGCTCAGGCCAGGGCGACACTTGACACGAAGGATATGCATGCATATATACTCTCGAAGGATGCAGGTTTAAGAAACAACAAAAAAAAAAAAGAGAGATATATAGAGAGTGAGGCTTAAAGACTTCCTTTTAGTCGATCGATTGCAATCAATAAACGGCTTAATATTCTATATACTATTTTGCTCAAATGTCTCGTGCTAATCCATTTGCATGTCAACAGAGTAGCTCGAGCGTCCTTTTTGCACAAAAGGATACCTTTTCACGGTGTCGGGACTCAGCTTCCGTTCGTGTTGATAATCCCTGGACCCTAGACCCTGGACTTGCAAGCTTCTTGGCAATAAGCCAAGGCATTAAAAAGTAAATTTGCCTAAATCCGCTTTTCAAAAACAAAAGGACTAAGACAAGTAGACACCTTAAGGAGACAGAGAGAGACTTGTGGAGACAAGTGTCGGTCTCGGTCGTGTTTTAGTTAACACCAAGGATAAACGATAGATCATCTTACCGATGATCACCCCAAAAGTGTCTAGAGGATACAATGGACTTATAGCTATTACAGTACAAAATATAAACTCGTATATAAGCCCGGCTTTTAAAACGAAAAACTTTTCATTGATCAGGCCCAGACTTCCATTGATCATCTTCTCACCATCTTCCCATTCCCATTCATTGGCTTTTGTGGTTTTCTGGCCTTTGTCGGATTGGCTTGGATTCGATTGGATTGAATTGGATTGGATTGCTTTGGTTTCGGATTAATCTACCTGTATATAGTATAGTCTTAGAGCAGGGTGAGAGGGGGGGCCTTCATTAAAAGAAGACGAAAGAAAAAACAGGTGCGATGTGCTAATAGTTTGGCGCCGCTGGAGATCATAAAACCCGAAGCGTCGGTGGAGTTTATGACTTTTCAACCAACAACAACAAAAAAAGCCAGGGAATCTTCAGAGAATCACCAAAGGGGGGTGGGGGGAGTAGATTTAGAAGTGGGTCAAGGTTTTATCGAAATTTTTAGAGGGGGGCTATCAATTAAATAAATCAAACAGAAGGGGAAGCTATGGAAAGGTGTTGTTGTCACTGGGTTTTTGGTTGAAAATTTTGAGAAGTTCAGTGTCCCCCAAGATTTGGGTAAGAATTTAAGGGGTAACCCTATTTACTAATTAAGGTGATATATTATTTTTTGTATTGACTATTGAATTACTTGTTTTTGTGGATATCTTGTTTTATAAAATCTTGTGGAAGAACTTTCTTATTTTTATTAAAAGTATTATAGATCTTTAATATTGATGTTTGAGAACTTTGCTTTTTCACTTCAATTGGAAAACATATATGAAAAATAATACCAAATATTGGGAATTCGAGACTTAAAACTTTGGAAAACTTTACGAAAAATAATACTAAATATTGTGATATCCAAGATATACTTTTGAAAGACCTTCTTAGGAAAAATTTCTAGGGTTTTAGGAAAAAGTTTCAAGGAATTAAGTTTTCTTCTGAAAGTTGTATTTTTTCATAAAGAAACCTTTACTATAAACTTTAAAAAGTATAACTTTTTTAAACCTGAAATGTAATCCCATTTTATAAGATTTTTCTCATCCCCATTTTCGAATAAAAACTTTAATAATTTAATTTTTGAAAATTTCGTTTCAATTTTTATTATTTGCTTTATTTCAGTTGCTGCTCCGACTGCTGCTGCTGCTGTCTGCTAGATCTATATCTATATATATTAAAATATATATATACTAGACTACATCGTGTGTATAATCGGGTCTATAAATACGAAAATCGATTTCTAGGTCGGTCGCTTAACACTAACTCGAGGGTTTACTGTACAATTAGATCAAACACTATATCACAGATATTCAAAACTATATCTAGACAAAAAAAAAAAATAATATTATATAAAATATATAAAAAATAATTGTCTTATAAATAATAGAATAGTTTGTCTAAAACTAAAGGTCACATAATTTTGGGAGGTGGGGGGTGGCTAAGGGCGTGGCTAAGTAATACTTTCATTTAAGGGGGTGCCTGGTGGGGAGGAGGTGGTGCGGTTGCTCTTATGTGACTAGAAACGGCAACTGCTATTTTCAAGATTTGTTTTTAAAATTAGCTTCTTAATTCTAAATATTCAATAAATACTTGTTGGAATGTGTGTCATCATGTGTGCAAAAAAAAAAAAAAATAATATTAATTAGATAATGATTTTCTTTCTTTTTTTTTGTGCTGGCAATCAAATAATTTACTTAAGCTACGATTGATCGATTAACGGTTAAATTAAGGGGCGGGGACAGGGGCTAGGAGGCTGGTGTGGGTGGTTGCCTCACGTGCGCTGCACGCGTTTAGTGGCACCTCTCGACTGCCGCTTGCCACGCCGCCTACCGCCGCCGCCACGTTTCTGTGGCGCCGCCATTACACCCATTTCCGCCCCCTGCATAACCTGCATATCCTGCGTATCCTGCGCCGGCTTTGACACCTCATTAAACTCCTTACGATTCTCCATTAATGTTGAACTATTTTGCCATTCTTCTGCAGATTTCTTCAACAGTTGTTGTTGTTGTTGTTGCTGGAGTTTCTTCTGCTTGCGCTGTTGTTGTTGCTGTTGGCGCTGCTGCTGGCGACGCTGATGACGTTTCCTCTCCATTTTACCATCACGACGCAATAGCTGCCACATGGTTCGCAAAAAATCATAATAATGATGCTTCACAAAACGCATATCGATCGCATCCGCTTCACTCAGGGCGGCTGCCGCCGTTGTAGGATCCCCGCCGGTGGAGCCTTCATACGACATTTTTGAACGTAATTTCAAACGTTTGTTCATCTCAAGACGCGATATTTGTGGTAATTTTTCCACATCACTAACAGGACTATTTCGATTATTGGCATTCATAACATCATCATTATAATCATCATCGTTGTTGTTGTTGTGTGTCACGGTCGCCATACTAGGCATTAGAACGTGCACCGCCGCAACGTTACTGCGCCGCTGCTTCTGCCTCAGCCGCGGACTCTGCGTCTGGTTGACGGCCGTCTCCAATTCGCAGAGGATGCGCCGCGAACTCAAAAGCAGCTCGCGCAGTTCGCGGGCGGTGCGCGACTCCCGGGTTATGGACCGTTGATCCCAACGGATCTGCAGCCGGCGCAGGTACGCGAAGCTGGCCACGTACGTTTGCATGTTGCGGTACCAGCGCTTCAGAGCAATCTATAAAGAAAATTTCAAGAAAAATTGGAAATTTTTGAAATTAATATAGAGGTTTAGGAAAATAGTAGAAACTAAGAAAATAGTGTGTATAGTTATTTCCTAAGCTATGGAGTCTTCAAAAGCTATTTAAACTATATAGTGCCTCTATCTAAACTCCGATTTTTTTATAAAAAGCTTATATCTTCAAGAAACAAATTAAACACACCTATATTTCAATTCTTAAAATCTGAAAAGGATAAAAGAGTTCCTATTTAAACTGAAAAGTTATGATATTCTTATAGTTTTTTTGTTAAGAATTTTTTAAAAGCTATAGAGCTCCTATATAATTAACACTTTGAACTGCAGTTTACTTGGGTACCTCCTATATTATTCCTATATAATTCAAAATGTAAGAATATCATTGAAGAACCCTTGAAAATTACATTAAAAGTAATATTTTAAAGAAAAACCCCCCAAAAAGGCTTTAAAATAGAAATAACCCTTTTTCAGAAACTGTTTTCTTAAAAATAGTTCGAAAAAGCTACATCTAGTCCCTTAACTTATTTCCTTCCCGTTTCCTTTTCCCAAATCTTAAATATTTCTTAAATATATCTATTTTTGTTCAAAACTTACCGTTGAGTTTGGCTTAAGCTTGGGCAGAAACTTATAGTTGTGTGTGTGCAAGGACCACATGTTCATATTACGAATATCAATGGCCGAGTCCTGCGAGCTGTTCAAGGTCCGATATTCACTAAAGGCGTGATGCTTCAATTGATTGAATCTCTAAAAATTGAAATTAAAAGAAATAATATTTATAGATTAATAATTAAATAAAAAATAGCTTCGAAAAAAATAATTTAATGAGAGACAAAAGTTAAGGGACACCCACCTGCCTGGAACGCTGACGACGACGACGACGATTACCCGCCGATGGATGATAATTGCCGGTACAAGGATTCACCCACTCCAGTGCGGTGGTACTTTCATTAAAATTTCGATAATCGATCCAGTTGCTATTCCGTTTCCGGTGACGTTTCCTTGGACTTGGACTTGAACTAGAACTCGAACTTGAACTCGAACTGGAACTGGAACTAATGATGGTGCTTATGATGTTGATGCTCGTGGGTATGGTGGTGGCGTTAGTACTTGTACTAATATTTGTTATATTTGTTGTTGTTGCTGATGTTGTTGTTGATGGTTGTATTAGGCCATTATTGGTACTGCGCGATTCCGCCAATTGTGGCAACTGAGCGGTTAGCAGGATAACGATTACAAGCAACAGGACCATAGCCGCATCTCCAACTGAACGGTATTTAGTTCCGCTATTGCCTCCTCTTTCTTGTCCTTTTCCGTCGCCTCCTCCTCGTCTGCCGCCCGGTGTGGCGTTTCCGTTTCCGTTGCCGGCTGCCGTTTTGCCGTCTTTAGCTTTGGTTGCAGCTCGCTGCCAACCAACTGATCCAAAAAAATAGATATATATATATATTATAGGAGAGCAATATTATAGCGAGATATATTCCAAAAATTCCCAAAAAAAAACCAAAATTCATAAATTCCAAAAAAAGAAAAACAGTTTTTTTTTAGCGACACAGGATTCCAAAAAAAAAATAAAAGAAATATGAATTAAAATAATAATTATGAATGAAAACGGCTATTGAATGAAATGATAGTAAGGACGATCGAGGGCGACGAGAAGGATAAACGAAAGTGATGGGGGATAGTTCTTCAGACTTGATTCTTCCAAAAAATAAAGGATATTGATTGACTTGGACTTGCTTGGACTCGACAAGGACCTGCTTTCGAAATTTTCTTCACAAAATTGACAATTTTTTTTTTAATTTTGGCTTTTTATTTCGAATATTGTTCTGCCACTTTTTGGGGTTTCGGCCAAGTTTTTAATGCAACAATGAAGAGTGCAACTGCAACCGTGCGACAGTTTGTGCAATTTTGTTCAATTTTTTTAACATTTTTCCAGCGTTTTTATTGATCGGCTCTTTGTTCGCTTTTTTTCTTCTTAAATTGATTTTGTCTTTTCCGGGGCTTTCCAGAGATATAACTAAAATATAATCGGTGTGTTATGTATTTTTGAAGGGGAAGGGGGGAAACTTAATAATTTAGACACTAAACTCGAGAGTAGCCTGAGCTCCAAAACAAAAAAACACAACAAAAAGTCCGATGAAGTCCAAGTTCCTATATCCTTTACTAACTAAACATGGGTACTATTATTTTTTTTTTTTGGAATCCTTAGTTTCTCTGTATATTTTAAATAATTATAAAAAATAATTATTTAATTAAAAATAATACACACACCGCATAATAGATGAATTATAAAGATGAGGGCAAGGATTCTCCTTTTTCCAATCCTTGATGTTAATCCAAAATAGTGTTTTAATTGTTTATGCAATTTATAAATCACTTTGTTTTAAACACCACACTTGCAAAAAAATGTTTATTTTATTTTATGGTATATAGTTTTTAATTATTTTTCAGTTTTTTTTATTGATCGAGTTTTTATTGATTTAGTTTGAGGTTTGAGGAGAAAACTACGCGAAGAGTAGTACTGCTCGCATCCGAGTGTGAAACCGAACTGAACCAAAAGTTGTGCTGGATTTGACCAGCTTTCTTTAATGAGAGATCGGTCTCGGTGGTTGGAATGAATGGATCCGGCGATTTCCGATACACTCCGATATATACTCCTCCTATACTTCCACTCGACTCCACTCCACTCCGATTTCGATTGTTTCGAGACGACGGAGCTGTTGCTGGTGCGGCGCCGAAAGACGAAAAGCGTCGAAGCTGAACTGAACTCGGATTGAAATTGAAACTGAAACTGAGGCGATGGCCCGAGCTCGGTTCAGAGCTCGGTGTGTTCAGTCGCTGCCGGCGTCGCTGCACGAACATCGCCGGTCCACAAAACCATGGTCCAAATGCCATAAAGACAGAAAACAAAAAAAAAACAAAAGGGCATCTCAACCGAAGATCTGCCATCTCGTTTTTCCCCGCCCAAAATTGATCCTCCCAGCACGCTCGCTCTCTCTCCCTCTTTGGCACCTGCTGCCTAGAAACGATCGCCTACCTGATAAAGGAAGGCTCACCATCGCTCTATCCCTTTTGCTCCTTTTGGCCCGGACCGAGACTCCATTTTCCCAATCATCCAATCCGGGCCACTCACTCAAAGCCACTACTGAGAGTGAGGTAGCCGAAGAAAAGGCCAAAAGAGAGAGAGAGTGATCGTCGAGCGGCGAGAGTAGATGGTGGTGAGAGTGGGAAAGCTACCTGGGTTCCAAAATATGGACCCTCTTTTCCCCCCCACCTATGCCACAAAAAAAGACAATGTCTACCTTCTCTTTTCAGCCCACTCGTCAAAAGGATCAAGCCTTCTCGGTTACTCTTGACCTTGAACTGACCCAATCACCCCTCCTGGTTAGGGATAACATATCCATATATCCATATCCTGATATTCAAATCAGGTAAGTGATTTTTTTGGTTGGATCTCATCCAGGCTTCCAGAAGACTCTAAATATATGGATGTTATACATTCTGAAAGATTTTCTTTAAAAAGACTATTTACATTTTATTTTGAGTTTTCTTGATATGATCCTGATCTTTAAAATATATAGGGTATATTCCATAGAGAGAATCGATATTTGTTCTATATCTTTTTATTTTATTAATATTTTAAGATCTTTGGGGACAATATAATATTATTTGGTTCATAATTAATGTTGAATCTATGATACTGTAAAATCCTTCCTTTATTTAATATAAACATTATAGTCTAATCTATAAGGATAATATTTTAGGGTTTTGAGCCAAATTTTTATAAATTTGAAAAGGGTCTAGTAATGATTATTTTTATAACTAACAATATATCCCATACGTTCCATAAATAGGTCAAATATTTCACAAACTTCTCTACAAAATAATACAATATTACTTCTAATATTAGAGTATAGTAAAGTTACTATAATATACTATATATATTCATATATACTATACTATACTCTATATACTATATCAAAATCTAGAGTATACTACTATACTTTTAAGAGTATTCTACTTAAAATAATAGTTTATTAATAGGTAATGCTATGGATTATTTAATATTTTGAATAAGAACTGAGCCCGTTGAAAATAATATTCATATATGTAACTCCCCAAAGCCGATCCTTTCTGAGAGTTTAGAAGTTGGAAATATTACTCTATAGAGTCTATATCCAATAATATAAAATTCTCTAAAAAATAATACAATACCACCTATTACTAAATATACTATAACTTTTTAAATAAAACTTGCACAATTAAAAGTATATACACACCTTTTAAAAATAATATCCATATAACTTCCCACTTTCTTGGTGGGGAAACCTTCTTATATGGATTCCTTCTTTCCTGAAACTCAAAACTTCTTTTTAAAAAACTCAACTTAACACTTTCCTTTTATTTTGAAAACTAAAACCCCTACTCTTATAGACCTATCTTATATATAGAATATACCTCTAAAATGGTATAGCCTAAAAATGTATATATTTTATAAAAACCCATAGGATGGTCTAGAAAAGTTTTATAGAGGTCCCACAAGTACCTGGGCCAAATGTCAAACTAAATCCAGGCGGCTTAAAATTTATGGTATGGATAGGATGGCATGGCATGGCATGGGAGGTATGGTATTTGGTATTTGCCTACCTATATATAGGGTATATATGCCCACTGATTTATATTTATTTGTTGTTTTCTGTAGGTGAGGGGCTTGCACAATTGACGGGCTAATTAAATCAAGAGTTCCCTGTTCGGACGGCTTTGTTTGGAATTATGTTTGGCATTGTTTCAAAGGACCAACAGGACCAACAGGAAAACAGCTGTAAGATGGTCAGATAGTGGACCAAGGACCAAGTATGACCACTAGTACTACATATATGGGACCAGAGTATGACCTTTTTTTTGCGTGTAACCGTAAGGAAGCTGCAGGACGTGTCGCACAGCAGGGACACACTCCTTGATTTTTGCCGCACGCCACCCGAGATGCTCGATGCCAGGACCCCCCCGTACAGGATCTATTGTCAGTTCCTTTGGGAATCGAAAGAAAATAAAACCGGTGCGGCATCTAAAGGAAAAAATAAAGAAATATAAAGATGTCTATATAAAAAGGACGAAAAAAAAAAAACCTACAATTCGCACCCAAAGTAACATCTTTATCCTTGCTGTTGTTGTTGTTGTAGATCCTGTGTAGATGGACACGATTATTGCATTGATGAGCTCCTGCTGCTGCTGTCGGTAGACATACACACGAGGCACAACGGGATATCCACACACCTCTGTACCACCGGTCGCAGGACGAAGCAGGATCTCGCAGGACCTCACTTGGCTCCCCGCCCCCTCCTCTGTTTTACTTGCAATTCGTTCTGGACAACACAAAATATTTATTTTGCTAAACAAAAATTGAGCTGTTCGGTGAGGTGAGGAGGTCCTTTTGCACATTTCAATGCCCCTCTATTGTGTCCTGTCATGGTGTAATTTTTTAGCGGCGTAACGAATGCCGAAGGATACGCTTTAATTGCCCCGAAAATCCAACAAAACCGAAGTCGAAACCCGAACTCGATCCTCGAACCTCGACTTGAAGGTTAACCGACAGCCGCAAGGATATATGGGAAGAATGGAAAGAAGAAGATATAGCACCAGGCATCATTACACGCTGCTTAGCCTGTGTCCAGGATCTCGCCTTCGTAGCCGCCTACCTAGCCATCCGTGTATCCGTGTATCCTTTTCGAAAAAAGGACGACGCTGATGAAGAATGGAAAAGAAGGTGTGAGTTTCTCGGCGGACCAGGACCCGGCCCTAGACAGTTGTTTTGATGTTTTTTGATTATGCGTAAAATCGGTCGCTTTATCATCAAAATCCCCCTGGCAATTTTACACATTCTTTAATCTCGGAATTGCTTCTGTAACTTAAACGGTCGGTTAAGTCCTTCTTTTATTTGTTTCGCTTCTTTATTTGTTTATTTATTTATTTATTTGTTTATTGTTTGTTCGGCCATCCAGTTTGTTTGTTTTTACCGATCCGTTCGATCCGATCCGATATTCCAATTGCCGTTAAAATTGCCATTCGTTATGGGCTTTATTATTGGGCTTGGCATCCGAATTCGAAAGGATGTTTCTCATGTTTTTTTTTTGCACTCTCTATGGGACTTAATGACTCAATCAATGAGCTCAACGGTGGGTTTTGGAAAGGATTTTCAATATTCATGGCCAACGGAAGGACTATAAGAAGCTAAGGATCTTAAATAATTATTTAAACTTTTCTTTAACAAATTATCCAAAAAGATATATAACATTTAGATTCTAGAAATAAAATTATAACTTAAATTATAATAAAATCCCCAAAATATCTCCAATTTCTTTTCTTAAAAGTTAAAACTTTAAAGAAATCGAACAACTAAATGTGGATTTTATAAAAATTTTAATTTTCAGCTACTTTTTACTTAAAAATGTTATTTTTTTTATTATTTTTTGAACAATTCTTTATTTAGTTTTAAGTTCTAAACAGTATTTGTAAAGACTATGATTACACTGAAACCAAAAAACTTTAAAAAAAATGTGTACATGGAATTAATACAATCAATATCTTATTTAAAACTACAAAAAAATATTATTTTATAGACCTGAAATTCGTAATTTTTATTATAATTCTATTTTTCTAACAACTCTAATTTTTTATTTAAACCTCAAGCTAAAAAATCACAAAAATATGCCGTGTTTTGTATTATTTTTCATTAATTTAGTATTAAAATGAAGTAACAAAAATGGATGAAGGTTAGGATTCAAAAAATATATTTTTCTTAAATATATATAGTTTCTTAAACTTTTTTAGAGATTATATATTTATTAATAATATCAATTATTATCACTATTTACTTACCATTATTATTAAAAAAGTACAATTACTATTAAATTAAAATTTGTACAACCATTTATATTTTATAATCCATTTTTTTAAGCACCCCTACGTTTTGTTCAGGGAGCTATCAGGACCCTCTAAAGGCGTGGCCTTGTAGGCTCCCCAATTGCCAGTGCCTGAGTTTATGTGTGTGGGTGTGTGTGTGTGGGAGTAAGTGTCAGAGTGGACATCACGGATTGGCCATCTTTTCGACCCCAAACGAGCACTTCCGAAGATACGCAGCCAATCGTTGACTGAACATAACGCTCGAAGAGAGCGCGCGAGAGCGAGAGAGCCGGCTAAAACTGAGAGAAAGAGCCGTGAGAAAGGCACTCAAGTGCAAGGTGTGTGTGTGATTGTGTTTGATGAAGCAACAGGTTGAAGCTGAAATGCCCCTCGTTCTCTCTCCGGGAAAAAAATCCAAGAGAGAGAACAGGTTGCTGAGCAAAGAAACTGAAAAAATGTAAATGAAATGGAGTGGAAGTGGATTTTCATTCATAAAAATTCAATGCCTTCTCCCGTTCCTCTCGGCTCTACGTATTTTTTTACTCCGCTGACTCAATGCGGTTCGTTGGGGAATTTACAGTTACTGGGGAGACTGGTGGGGACTGACGCCATTTGTTGCTGCCACGCGAACTAAGCACCCCCACCACCCTCGCCCCTTGATCGAATTACCCCCATGATGAAGCCAGTAAAGTGGTTAACGGTAAAATAAACCCTTAAAAAGCAACTCAATATGGTAGAAAAATATATACTTATGTATTTTTTTTATTATTATATATAATTGTATATATAAGTTTATATACTTTCTATATATAAATCTGTGACTGAAGATCACGCGACCATTATTATTGCCCGATATTTTAGCCTAATGATCCATGAGTCACTCCTAGTTTTGCGGTAGGTACTTGCGGTACTTGGGGTTTTCTCAATGAGTGGAAAACGCTTGGAAACCTTCGAATGGAACGTGCCCCAATGGCACGAGCCATAAACGTTCCATTGGCTCGATCTCATGCCCGATGGGTCACTGGAGTGGTTTGATAGCCTAGCCCCGGCCCAGAGTCTAGGTAAATTCCAGGGTGGACCTCCCCCCCCATTCCCCACCGAAAAAAATTCAAATGCACCGACGACGAGTCATACCACAAAAATGGAATCTCTGACTTATTTCGATTCCGATCTATGGAATATGGTGGTGGGTGTGGGGGTAAATCCACAGATTACATTTTTTACCGGCTCATATACAACCGAACCGAACTGTATTACTCAATATATAGAGCGGTGATACAGGTGTTTGAAAAACCCAAGAACATGAATTTATAATTTTTGTTATCGTCACGAAAATGACTTTGGTGGGAAAATAAAGATAAAGTGGTTGAATCAAAGACAAAATTTGATTTTTTTGAAGGTTGTTTGATTAAAAATGTGTACAAGATTGTAATAAATTGTAAGAAAAAATTTCCATTCATAAAAAACCTAGGAGTAACAAATAAAATATTAAGATTTATCATAAAAGTTTCAAACTTCGATATTAAGTTTAACTTTAATATAAAATTATTCTAAAAATATAAGAAAAGTTTATAAATAAACCATTAATAAATAGTTAAATTTTTGAGTGAATATACATTAACCATAATACATAAATCTTTCAAAAAGGTCAACCATTAAAGAGAAATCAAATTTTTAAAGAATGTAAACACATTAAATAGTTTCTTTGAATGAAATTTAATTAGAATAAATATCCATTAAATTCTAAAGTCAATTTATAATTTTATAAAACAAAACTAAGTCCTAGAAATCGAGTCCCATCGGATATTATCGAAAAGGCACATCAATTGAGGTTTAAATTCGAGCGAAATAGCCCCTGGAGTATGAGCTAATTTTCAGCTAAGTTTCAGCTGATATGAGAGTTATAAGCAAATCAAAATAATGGGTTCTATGAAAGGAAAATAAAATAAAAGATATTTTAGAAACTAAAAGTTTTTATTTAAAAACCATTTTATTTAAACCCTCCTCAAATTGTTTTAATATCGTGATGAAATTATGATGAAATCAATGTCACAGTCTTAGTGATATAGTAGGTATTTATCGGTATTCAAGTGAGGGTTTCTTTTGAGGTGAAACCTCAATAAAGCACTCCAAATGAGGCACTTTCCAATAAAAAGTTTAATTGGCTTTATATTGTGTTAGAACAGTAATGAAATTTGGATGATATATTGTTTGTATTATAATGATATGAATAGGCCTTCTAAGATCTCAATATTAACGCTATTTTTTTATATAAAGACTATGTTGCGGTTAGGAATTAGTCACTGGGAGTGTCTAAATAATAATAATAACTAACATTACTCAAGATAGAACCCTTATTAAGATTAATTTCTGATCTTTTAAGACCTTAATCTTAACCCCGATCCCCAAAATTTCAATCAAAGTCATTATTTCAATGCTCGTTATAATAAATATATTTTTGTTGTTTTTTTCACATAGTATGCTAGTTTAAAAAAAAAAATGATTTTTTTTTCTTAATATTACTAATAAGTTATCGAGCCTGCGAGGCAGCATATGTATGATTTGCATTTTCGGATGCATTCGTGGATGTATATAAATAGAGTGCATTATGTAATGTGATGTATGTGGTATAGTTATAAATAATTCGTTGGGTTTTTTTTTGTTTTTGTGGCTTTGTGTGGAATAATAAGTTAAAATAAATAAGTTAATTCTAAGAGGGGCATGGGGTCTGGGTGGGTTTACCTAGCCTAGCAGCTTTGAGATTGCAAATGGTCGTTGGTTGGTTGGTTGGTTTTTTTTTTGGGGCTTTTAGAGATTGGATTCGGCCATCCAGTGGCGGTACATGTGCTCGACAACTGTCAGGACCTTAACGGTTTCATTATAGGCGGCAAATTGCAACCTGGCATGATTCGAGTTGAACTTGTAATCGGGTATGGCACACTCGTGCAAGTGGGCCAGTTCCAGTGCCTTCACCAAATTGTGGTAGATCTTTTCAGAAATGTATTTGTGAGTGAATTCCCGTGAGGCGGTGGCAAATTTTCCAGTCAGATTCAGTTTCTTGACGAAATCATCGAGGACACTGAGAGCGGCCAGAATCCGTGGCATCTCATCCTTGGGACTGCCAACAGGTCCTTGGTATTTGTAGGTGTGATCGATGAACTCGACATGTTCGACTTCCTTCTTCAGAGGATGCTCCAATAACAAGCGATGCAACTTCATTTCATGCAAGGCCTGCTCAATGGTCTGATTAGAAGAGTAATCCAACTAAAAATACAAAAATTATAAATATATTCATTAGTTAAACTATTTAAGAAAAAAGGATAAAGCTTAAAACCTACCCATTCATCGATGAAACAAACAATGGCCTCCTTGGTGTCCTTAATAACATAGAAGGCATTCTTCAGCCGTTCGGCATACAGGGCGCTGTCTGACATTTTCCAAGCACACTGTCCTCGATTCAGGGTCTCGCTCATGGAAATATTTACAATAACGACCTGGACAATATCCCCCTGCACGTATGGCTTAGGTGTGGTGGGGAATATTTGAGCTTTTAGATCCCTGGTGGTGCGGCGATGCCTCCGGAAACGCTTTACAGGATTGGGGGTATTGTGTCGCCGGTGTGGCAAGTGTGGCAGTGATCGCTCTGTGGTGATGGTGGCGTCTCCTCCTACTCGTTTATGCCAGGAGGCTACCTCTGAGCCACGACTACGACGTGGCAGTGCCGATGTCCCCGTCGGCCAGCTGGCGGCGATTGTGAAGGCAAGTAGGACACCAAACAGGAGCCAAGACTTGCTGGGAGCTATAAGAAAAAATATTAAAAAAAACAAAAAATTAATTATAAGTTCATCTTAAGAATACAATATCCACATTTATAAATTATATCAAACAAGAAAATTATAACTTGGCTAACAAAATGACACATTTAAATAAATACAGAACTAAAGATATCTCAGACACGACCAATTATGGTGGATATGATTCAGAGGGAGGCTAAGGTCGAAAGAAAAACTTACACGCCAGACGGATGTGGCTAATATAGTGGCGGGATGAGGCAGAAGTGTAGACAGTTGTGGCTGTAACGGTCTTGACCTGATCAGGACCCAATTCCTGAAGACGCTCTTCCAAAAGCTGTTCCTTATTAGCAGCCATTTTTGTATAGTAATTGGTATTTAAACTTTGGTATTTGTTTGGTATTTTTTAAATATTTTTAAATATTAAAACACTCGCGTTAGATTGGGATAGGTCTTATATTGAGACTTGTGGGAGACTTGTGAAGCTGGCGTGCGAGCTCTGCGAGATTTTACGGTTAATGAGGAGTTGGGGCCAACGCCGATCACTTTTTATACAGGGTCCGCGATATCAGAAACCGAAGCCCCACGAACGGCCGGCCGGCTACAGCGCGAGTACAGCGCGTGCCGACTCACACAAATACAAATATAAACACATATACACACACAAGTGTATGTATATTCATAAGACTCAGTACTGGAGACTGAGTACTGGATACTAAGTACAAAAAAAAATATAAGAAAAAAAAACAGCAAAGCAAAAGCACTGACTTTAGGCAAAAGCAAAAAAAACAAAAAAATCTCTCAAAAGAGAGCATCTCTTGATATCTTAATAAAATATTTTAATATTCGTTTTTATAAAAGCCCTATCTATCGCTCTTTTCTAATTTCTAACTATTTTTTTTAAATTATAATTCTTTCTTTGACTTTTCTTTTCGATTTTCCAACTTTCCTTTGGTATCTTTTGCAACTGCACCTTTTGGGTGCATATATTTTTGTTTTCTTCCTGTCTTGCAGAAAGTGAGTTGCAGTTGCAAGAGTGTCTTCCTCGGCCCTGTCAGCCCATCCGCGTAATTTATGCACACACGCTTCTTAACCCAAAACGGATGTCACATTGAATTCTTATACCCTACACACCAAAAAAAATGGCACTAGTTACTTTCTGAAAGAGTTTGCATAACTTTTTCTATTTTAAGGGAATTTTTAAACATTTTTTGCGATTTTTTTAAATTTTATTTTCAAGTTTAAAGTCATAGAAACACTTTCTTTAAACGTTTTTTTAGGCCAAGAACTCTATGGTTTTTTTTGCAATAATTTGAAAGTTAATTTAAAAAAAACAAGGTCCATAAAAGTGTTTTGTTTTTAGTAATTTTTTTAAGAATTAAGAAACTTTAGGTTTGTAAATCCTTTGATTTCCAAAGCCTCTTCGAGTTTCTATGATTTTTGGCTTGAGTTTCGTTGACTTTTGTTGTTTAATTTTGTGCTCTAATGCTTTTTTTCGCTTTTTTAGTGCCTTTGCTTTTTTTAATGCTTTGCTGAATTTTGCTGCTTTTTTTTTTATTTTACTCCAAGTGATGGACCTGCCTTGAGAGTGACGCGTTTTTGCGTAGGCATTTCCGATCGAGCGCCCGGCACGTGTTCGTTGTGGAAACTAAACAGCAAAGTCAACTCGAAACGGACTTCAGGTAAAAATCACCTGCCCCAACAACCGTATAAGAGACAATCGTACAACAATAACAACAATAATTTATAAAAAATAAATACCAACACTGCCTTAGACAACTTTTAACTCTCTTCTATATATCTCCATAATTTCCTTTTTTTTCTACTCTTTGGGTTTACTCATTTTTCTTATCAAAAGTTTCGTAAAGTTTTTTTTGAAAAACCATTATAGCATTATGACGGGATGATGGGAATTTCTCTGCCAAACTCTTTGCGTATTAAAGCCTCCCGGGATTCATTCTAAATTTAGTTATAATTTGTTATTGTTTTTCTTTGCAAGTAAGACGTATATTTGTAAGTTCTGAGAGAGTCGGGAGTCGACAGCTCCCTGAAGATTTTGATTTTCAATGTGAAAAGTTTGATTTCTTTAAAATTGAGATTTTACCCATTTAGTGGGAAGAACCCAAATGATTTTTCTCAGTTTTTGATAAATCTGACTTTTTACGTAATTGGTTTTTTTATGATTCTCTCCGTTTTTGGTCCCAAGCCGTCTAGACGGGTGGCACTTTCAGAGCCATCGACGTCATAGCAAGCATTGACGAGCTATTTCTTATAGATATTATATAACTGAATGATCGGAAAAACTATAACTGGTTTTGGAGATGGAAGGTTGGCAGTTTTTTTTAAAAACTATATTATGAGCCACTGATTTATTGTATAAACTTTTATCAGGATCATTCGATGTTTAAAGGATCTAGATATAGGAAGTATAGGAAAATAAAGTATAACTTTGGGATTTATTTAGTTACAAGCTTGAAACTTTATATATGAAAGCCCTTTAAAAAGTTTTATATAGTCTATAACTTTTTAATCGGAATTCTCTTGAAGATACCTTTCCCATCTTATCCTAACCACCTGTTGCTAGCCGAAAAAAAAATCTCCAAAAATTTAAAACTAAAAGTTATATTAACCTAGTAAAACCAAAAGCAAAAAAAAATGCAAAGTCAGCTATTTGAGCTATGCTTACTGTCAATTATCACACCCACAAAGGTGTTAACTAAGGCCACGCACATACATATGTATGTAGGTATCTTCCAGTAATCCGACTTGTATCTGTAAACTTTCAACGTCAGTCCCTCTAGGGAGTTCCGCTATCTAATATTTATTTTTTAAACAGCAATATTAAGAAAAAAAATTTGTATTTAGTTCTTGTTATTGTTGTTGTTATTGTTTGCGTTCCCCTTTTAGAAATGATCGTGATTTTCATGTGACGTGTCACTAAGTCACCGCAGTCTCATCAATGGCGTGAACCGGGTCTCGAGATGTCAATGAATAATAGAACGGAACCTTAAGTAATACTCACATAATAATACTTAATAATACATAATAATACAGTAATACTTACGATAATGTAATAGTTATATAAGATGTCATAACCCATTCTTAATAAAATATTAGTTTTTAAATTAAAACCTAATCCACAGGACTAACTGTAAGCCAAACTGGTAACTGTCATTAATATCTTCGCTCTATATCTTTTCTTTATAGTTAATTAATCACCCAACTTTTATTAAAAATTCAAAAGTTTTTCAAATGCCCGCCAAAGTCCAGGATAATGTGACCATCGGTCGATCCTTTGCTCTCCCACGCTTTTCCGCTCTCTCAGCTTTTCGCTCTCTCCTCCTCCTCCTTCATTCTTGCGGCTCGGTCTTCTTCTTGCTGAGATCAGTATCCTTCATTTTGTGTTTCGTGGCGTCTAGTTTCCCGGTAATTGCTTTTCTTTTAACTAATTAGTCCTAAAATTGTGATTAAATATTAAAAGTAACTAGGACTAACTAATGTCCTTACGGTAACCATCGAATTCACGTAGTTTTTGTGGAAAAACAAGTCTAATCGGTCAAGTGTCTGTGTTTTTTTATTTGTGCTGTTTTTATACCCTTGCAGAGGGTATTATAATTTTGGTCAAAAGTGTGCAACGCAGTGAAGGAGACATCTCCGACCCTATAAAGTATATATATTCTTGATCAGGATCACCTCCTGAGTTGATATGAGCATGTCCGTCTGTCCGTCTGTCCGTCTGTCCGTCTGTCCGTCTGTCTGTCCGTCTGTCTGTTTCTACGCGAACTAGTCTCTCAGTTTTAAAGCTATCGTCTTGAAACTTTGCACACACCCTTCTTTCCTTTGCACGCAGTATATAAGTCGGAACGGCCCGGATCGGCCGACTATATCCTATAGCTGCCATATAACTGATTGATCGGAAATGGTATAACTTTGGTGTTTTTAGAGTTAGAGAGTTCAAATTTGACATGTGAGCTATTTTTGGCAAAACATTACGTCATGCCAAATTTCATAAGGATCGGCCGACTATATCCTATAGCTGCCATATAACTGAACGATCGGAAATGACCCAACTTTCGTGTTTTTGAAGATAGAAAGCTGGAACTTAGTACAGATTTAATTCTTGGTCAGTTGATCCAACCTACCAAATTTCATTAGGATCGGCCGACTATATCCCATAGCTGCCATATAACTGAACGATCGGAAATGGTATTTGGTAGAAATATCAACTTTCGTATTTTTGAAGATAGAAGTTTGGGACTTTTTTTAGATTTTGTATTGTAATAAATTGGATTATATATTCCTATTCCCATAAGGATCGGCCAACTATATCCGATGTTTGCGATATATATCCGGTTTTAACTGCAAGGGTATATAAACTTCGGCTCCGCCCGAAGTTAGCTTTCCTTTCTTGTTTTTGGGTGATTTTTCGTAGTTTCTTTGCTTTTCTTTTCGGAAAAGTCTTAATCCTCCAATAAATTAAAGCCTTTAATGTGTATCTAACAGATATTCACATTAAAATATTGTTTCAAAAGCCTGATAAAGAAAATATTAAGAAAATTCGCGATTTCCTTTTCGAGTGTCTTTTTTTTGCTTTTCTTTCTTGTGACTATGTGCCGTTAGCTAAAAAACCGCAATATCTGCCTCTTTTTGTGCCACAAATAGGGAAGGCAGCAAGGAAACACTAACTAGAATAGTTCTAGATACTTCAAAGTATCTAGTTGTTGTTCTTACATTTTAATTAATTAATTAGTTAATTAATGAAAAATAAAATTAATTTGCTAAGCCTGCTTTCCCCCGGGAGTGTCAGTGTATGTGTATGGACAGCTTGCAGCAGCCGGTGCGTCGCCAAAGCGGTACAGTTGGACTGCAACCGTGTCAATTATACATACCGACTTATGTACATACATATGTATGTAGACAATCATGTATGTATGTAAAAAGGAGGATGTACGATATGTAAAAGACATGTAATCTAAGGAACTTCAGTAAAAGGTAATTGAAGCATGTTTTATAATATAAGTTTTTTTAATTTATTTTTTGTTTAATGTAATAAAAACTATACACACTTTTTATATAATTTCTACATATTATTTATATTGTATTTTTTTGCAATATAATTAAAAAAGAAAAACTTGATTTTGTCGTCCTTGATAAAAAGAACACGCCACCCAGTCTGCTGATACAATTAAAACATTTTATTAAATCATAATATATTCAATGCAATAAATTTAATATCTTTTATGATTAATCGTAGGCCTGAGCTTTATTTCATTCATAAAATTGTCACAAAACTAGAAGTCATCAAAGTGCAACCGCATAATCGCTTAAATGAATAAACAAAGTTGCATATTTAGAAAT